TCTTTCGTTCATCCTATAATTAGATTTATCTTTTTCGTTCTGTCTATCTCTCTCTTCAGAATTTTCTCAGATTTTGATTTCGTGCAGTAGTTATTTTGTTTTGGTGGAGAGCAGTAGCACTTATTACTACCTCCCTTGTGTGTACAATTATCTTCGTGAAATAAATTATCCAGTTGAACTGATCTCACATCCTCTCCTCAGCTGATCACGTAGCCTTGAACATCAAGGTAAGTCCCTTTATATTCAATTATAACATCATCTATAACGTTGACCTAACATATACTAACCTTTTAATGGACTATCGTCACAGGAATAGTTGACTGTTATAATGTAGGATAAAAACAAAAATTACCGTCGTAATTAGGGACAAAAAAAGGACTGAAAAGTCATAATTAGGGACAAAAATTGGCTGGACCGTCAGAATTAGGGACAACTTTTTTTTCACTACCCTTGTGTGTCTTCATTCCAAGATCAGTATCTTGATAAAAGAAAATACAGTTGTCTTGAACCTTTAGACTATGATAGAGCTTGATTCGCTCTGCAAAAATGTCTTAGACATTTCCTCTCCATTTCTCATAAAAAAAAATGAAAAAAATAGTTTTTTCCTAAAATTGAATTTTTCTATGTAATTTGTTAGAAGCGTCATAATTAGGGAAATTTTTTTGCTGGTCGTCAGGATTAGGGAGCTACTACCTAATTCTGTCGGGTGCAGGTACTTTTCGTAGACCGATAATTTCACTATGAAAACATGAAAAATGAAAGAACAACAACACATCATTTGAAAGAGGAGAATCCAGAGATTACGGATATATAAAAATATTTTTTGATCGGATGTAAAATAGTTGCATACTAGTTGAAACAAAAAATGGTAACATTTTTCCGACAGAATTAGGGAAATGTACTGTACTTCTCATTTTACTTTGTTTTTACATGATTAGATTTTGATTTTTCAAAACAAGTAATATATTATTGTCGTGAATGTTTATCCCGTTTAAAAACTTTTGAACAGGTTGTATGTACTGATGAATGTCCATTGAATAATAAAAGGCGTCCATTTATGAATGTTATTGAATTAGTAATAAATGATATTAAAGATGAAATTTGCTCAACAGCCAAACGATATATAAGTTTAATTAATGAGTATTCTATTTGTTTACATGATATTTTACCATGTGATGTACCAAATGGTTCTATATATAAATGTTTAGGGAACAAAAATCAGAGAAAGTTAACTATAATGTTGCATATGGATGGGGCATCTGTGACTAAAATATGTAGAAAATCACTATGACCAGTTCAAGTCACAATTCTTGCAATTCTTCCTTCTGTCAGAGATTACGTAAGTGCTGTCATGGTATTTGCTGCTTGGTTAGGCGGAACTCATCCAAATAGAGAACTGTTATGGAATAATATTGTTAAACAAATTCAATATTGATATAAAAATGGAGTTATAATAAAATTAAATGATAATACAAAGATTAAATTTAATATTCAAGTACAACTGATCACATTTGATTTACCGGTACTCGCTCATAGTTGCAATATAGTTCAATTCAATAGTTATAATGCTTGTCCGTTTTGTAAAGTACATAGTTATGGAATTGGAACACAAATACTTTATACTTATTCGTAAACATCAGTATTACTCAAAACTGATGATGATTATCTTCAGTTATCAATGGCTGATTTACCAAGATTATCATCAAGCAGTATTAAAGGACCTACTCTATTAACAATAATACTGTTATTTCCTATCCAAATT